TCTGAAGTAAGGACTCGCCGGAAAGAAGGTATATAGCGGACTCCAGAGGTCTAGAGAACGTTTTCGAGAGACCAGATGATAATTGCTGGCTGACCAGTTGCAGTTGAGAGAGAGTGGTTACGCGTCACGTTGTGTCACATTGACCAAACTTGCCAAACTTCGACAACGTTGATTGGAAATTGCCAGACTACGAACCTCCCTTGTCATTTTCAACCTAGGCCCAGCGAACTCCAACTGTCTTGAGACAATAAGAACCATCCAAGACGACTGAAAGACGCCTAATTGTTCAAATCCATGGTGATGCGAATTTTTATTTTGTTCAGTCTCCCGCTGCTCACTGTGAGAATTCTCAGCAGCTGGGTATAAAAGGTCTTGTTCTTTTTTGTCGTAGAAGAAAGCTCCTTCATGCCTGCCTCCCAGCTTGACGGTAAGTCCCTTTATTCCAGCGCCATTCCAGGTACTTACGACCCATGAAGCATTGAACTTGCTAGATTCTCCAAGAATCCCGCGTGAGCTGATTTCGGAGGTCAAAGCCTCAAAGGGCATTTAAACCCTTATGATCAAGAGGATCGCGACGCGCTGTGCGCTCTTTCCCTCGCCAACAGGAGCCTATTGCACGAGGTTTCGCTGCTTTTATTCAACTGACCACAGACGACGAGCTGGAGACCTAGCGCAACATTCTCCTGAGAGAACCGGCCGTCGCGAATGTCCAAGGCAGAAGCGTCCTCTTCGGTGAGTGGCCCAAGCCAGTCCCGAGAGATCCGCCTACGCGTTCCAGTATGCCCAAGTTCAGAGTCAAGAAATTGAGATGGGAAGCGGTCACTGATGATACCGACTTTACCCTGCCACCGTCAGATATCTCGACATGTTTGATGATCTCCAAATTCTGAATTTCAATGGCTTCTTCATCAGTACTCACGCGGTAGCCAGTTCCTCGCTGCTTGTGGTCCGCTAAAAGCTGTTATATTTTGATCCAGAGGTCAAGTTCCGAGGAGAACATCTGTTGGATTCGTAGGATTCAAGCTCTGAGGATTCAGACGACCCAGTCAGTCCGACGGTCCCCATCGCCTGTGATTTTTCCAGCCTAGAGATCCTACATACCCCAATGTCAACCCCTTGGTTCAATAGTTTCATCTGTCATAATCATCCTGATGTTCTACACAGTCTCAACGTGCCCGACGGTGATTCGGAGCATTGGGAAGCTGTCGGACGCCTAATCGATGCCACGACGAATACCTTGACAACCCTACGTCTGGAATTCGGTTTTCGGATTGGCAAGTGACCATCATTTTGAAATTCCTTGGTCCTTATTCTTTTCCACAGAACTGTTCACCCTGAACAATCCGTTGTCGGTCCTGACTTCCCTTTTCCTCGATGTATGTTGGGATAATTCGACATCAGATAGAAAACATCCATTGGAGACACTCTGCCAGAAATTGGCTCCCATGCCGTGTCTCCAAACCGTAACTCTCGAAATGCAGGCCATACACGAGACGACGTTTCTCCAGGTCGTGATTACAAGTCTTCAGTGGATCACGACAGACTTCATACCTCGTGCGATTCCTGCCTTCGACAAGCTCGTCGTCGAGTGCGGACTATTGGACGTTCCAGTCGCATCTCGTCCCAGTTATGAACAGACCATCCGGACCGATACTGCGCTGGTGAACCTTGGAGAGCGTCTGGAAACATCCTGGTACATTGAGATCTTGCTAATTTGTGGCCTTGTGATGAACTTTCTGTGCTTAGGGAGAAATTGATGGGGGTCTAAATACGCTGGAACAATGATAGGCGACCTTGGATGTCCGCACTCGCCCCATCGGGAGAATTTCAGAAATCCGGTGTTTCTACTAGGGACGATACCGTCTATCTATCTCCGAGTCGGCCTGATCCGCTTCGGGGCAACCAAAGAAAGACTTGTAATGACTTTCAACTAGTGTACTACACCTGTATTTCGCCCTACATCCGACTTGTTCCAACTTTCTTCATGATCGAAGGCCTTCCGTAATCACCACGATCACATTTGAACACCATGGACAAGTAATATCAAAGTTACTCACCAAGAGAAATTTAGAGGCATGGAACGACTCAAATCGTTTCTTGTAAATACTTGGTACTTGAGTTGATTCGGACTCGGTACTTAAAGCGGCGCAAATGCGCCACCTTGATCCTGATCAATACGTGATCAATGAACATCCGGAACCGCAGGCAAGCCCTGTATAGTGTAGACTATTTGACGAACCCAATGAATGACCGAACGAAACACGGTCGCAATCACGTTCTCGTCAACATTGGCAACACGCGAACGACTCATCTTCCACCATCCAAGCTGAGCTCGAATCTCGTTAAACCAAAGGATTGATTCGTCCATTGTGGGTCTCCGAGCAGAATCCGTTTGAGTCATGTCAGTTAGCAATGGAACAAGGAATTCAACGTTGGTTTTTGGTATGTAATAATCGCCCCCGAATCGCTGGAAACATTCAGCTCGATGTATGAGGATCTTTTACGGCTTGTTATCCCGAGAACGTTGAGAATCACTGCTCGCAGATGGAGAACGCGATGCTTATATGATGACAAGGCGCTCGTCAATTTCCAAGCAATTTCGTTGTCGAACTTTGAAGTTGATCAGTGCGACGCGTGATGGGCGTGGAAAGCCGCCTGCGGTATTAGCCGGCAACCTCGTGGTTTCGATCAATCGCGCGGTGCTTAGATCACTGAGCTGCCTACATAGATTGGATGATGGTGATTCGATCAAGCCTTCACAGCTTCACCAGCCCAAGCTTGTACCTGTATCATATCAGGCATTCGGCTGCAACGGGATCTAACGGTGCTCACTTCAATTCGACCGACCGCTTCAAGAAACTGAAACGACAGTACTGGTGCGAGAAATGCTGAGCTAATTGCGAGCGCAGCTAAGCAACAGCCATTAGGGCAGACCTCCCCTGTAAACAAAGCCAAACTTTGAACTGCAGAGGTCTGCAACTCACAAAATCGCCTCAAATCTTGCTCCTTTCCCTTAAAATTGTACCTGCTCAAGTTCCTCGCATGGCGCTACATCCTGGAGCAATTTATTTCTCTAGAAGCCAGAAAACATTTTGAGCAATGATAATGTCTGCAGGCCGAACTGCCCTGTTGGCTGTAGATGCCCATTGATGTAATAGAAATGTCTTCAGAAAGTCTAACATCCAAAAGGCCGAGTTTTCGGAGCGAGCGTCTTGGCGGCTCGAGCTCCGACGCACATGTTACGGTGAGGTAATCGAAGGTTAATGTGAGAATGTTTCAGATTCCACTCCGATCCATATCACAGCCTTATTGACCGCCACCGCCAAGTACTACGCTCAACTGCGCAGCGTTCAGTGAATCGCTGTGCTGTCGACTCCAAGTCCAAGACAGTCCAATACTATGCTAAAATCGGTCTATATGGCACCAGAGGAATTGTTATTTCGTCTTGGGACGCGGATAACGTCTTCAATATTCATTAGCGCTCGGAAGGATGGATGGGTAGAAAGAAACCGGGGGTCCGGTTGGTTGGTAATACAGTTTTCACCACTTTGACAGATGGTGATCGGCTAATCTTCGTTCCAGGCTGGTATAAAAGAGCGGCATTCCTTGTTTGGCGCTCTTCGTGTCTGTCTCTAGCAGGACTAGCTGACAACCCTCCTCGATTTTCAACGCCATGAAATTCTTCGCCTTATTCGCATTCCTCGCTGCTGCCTCTACAATCTTGGCCTATTCCACGGTGGATCTGGATCCACATCGTCGGGATTTGGACTTTGAAGACAGTTTAGAGGCGCGATACTATGAATCGGAGCTTTCACCCCGCTACGATGAGGAGCTCTTGCCTCGCTACGAAGGGGATCTTCTACCTCGCTACGAAGCGGAACTCGCGGCTCGCTATGATCAGGGCTTCGAGCTTGACGAGCGTAGCAGCTCTGAAGTAGAACTCGCTCCCCGTGTCGTTCAGATGGTTTTGATGGCCGCCAAACAGCTAGTGCAACAAGTTGTGAAAGCCGTCATTAAAGCGGTAATTAGCTTGATATCTGACATTAAAGACGAGAAGAAGGTCCGTATTTCTTTTGTTTTCATTCCTCTCGACTCATTCATTCTGGTAGAACCGAGAGATCTTTGTGAAGAATCTCCTGGCTGGTCTCGTCAGCAAGAATCCAAAGTTCAATTACATGATCAGTAGGTCTACCTTTTTCGCTGGGTATTACCTGGTCTGATATAATTGTCTAGTCCATCCGAAGCATACAGCGAGCTGGGCGGGCACGGCTGGCAAGGACTGGGTTCGTCTTTGGTTCTATCTTGCATGTTCGACTGCTGACTCGTTTGACAGCACAAAGAGCACGTTGAATGCGACACGATTCGTTTGCTGAAGAAAACCATCGGGTATGATATCTATGCAGGCCAAGCGGGCGAGGTCGTGCTCCAGGGTGATGGGAGTTTCATCAACGTGCGTCGTGTTTCAGTTGTTACGGGCCAAGCTAACCGTGTTTTCAGTGGGCATTTCAAGGGAGGTTCACTCGTTCAGGGAACCAGGGACACACTGTCAAGTTCACCAAGATGAATTGAAGATACATATATTGTTTTCCGTACCGTATTATGTTCCTATACAGTACCGGACGATATTTTATATTGTATTTACCGGGCTTGATCCTGGATCAGATATGCAATCTTGGATCAGACATTTACCCGACGCTCAAAGCTGTGTATATCATACTACTGAAACCCTGAAACCCTGAAACCACATAGTCAGATTGCGATAAGAACACAGGATCCTGATCTCATGGGGATCTACGGTGCCTGAATTCGGAGTTGATTGCGATGATGAAACTTGAGAACTCTGCTGAGATGTGGGCTTCGTTAACGGTTGCAGGGAAACAATCTATTTGCCTCAGATCATGGTATGTTGAAGAGATGTGGATCAGTCAATGGCAGAAATACTCGAAGGGGTGGCGTTGGGCCCAAAGGGACAACATAATGTCAATGAGATACTTATTCATGGCCGGTTAGCTCAGTTGGTTAGAGCGTGGTGCTAATATCGACATTTGGAATATAGATTTACGCCAAGGTCAAGGGTTCGACCCCCTTACGGGCCATCTTTTTCTTGTTTCTCATTCCTTTTATTGATAGATTGATATTCTTTTCGCCACAGAAGCCTTGTTCTCTTCGTCTTAAATCACCGTCCCGCCGCCCGGTTCCTCGCTCCTTGACCTTTAAGGTTCGATCTCCACAGTTGCGCCACACAGGCCACATGACCTCGATCATCCTTGCTTTCTCCCACCATGCACTGGCCAAACGGGAAACATGCCTGTATCTGCGTCACTATGGATAACATGGGTGAAGCAGCAGACATTCATCGTGGTCTCTGGCCTTCATCTCAACCCGTGGGATCCCATTTCTCTGTCACCGAGAAACTTCCCATCATGCTGGATCTGCTCGACAAACACTCTATCAAGGCGACATACTTCATCGAAGGCTGGAACATGACCGTCTATCCAGACACCATCAAACATATCCAGCAGCGCGGCCATGAAATCGGGTTCCACGCTTACCAGCATGAAGTGTGGTCCCTTTTGGATCCGGAAACAGAGATTGCGAATTTGGAGAAGAGTGTGACAGATGCTGGAGAGATCGGGATCAAGTTTCGGGGGTTCAGACCGCCTGGAGGGATTATTACGCCGCAGACGCTCCGGCTCATGCGTGAGCAAGCTATGACGTACCTCAGTCCTGCGGCAGAGAGACCTGCGATTGTCGATGGTATCGCTATGGTCCCGTTTCAATGGGAAAGTATCGACGCATACTTTTACCTCAAGGCGACGGCCTCGCTAAGGAAGGGAAAAGGTGATACAGAGGATGTCATTGGTCCAGACGAAATGAAGGAGAGACTTGTAAAGAGAATTGACGAAGTCGTGAAAGAGGGAGGCTTCCTGGCACTGCTTTTCCATCCGTTTCTTCAGACGGACAAAAGAAAGATGGAGGTCATGGAAGAGGTCCTGAAGCATGTCGTTAGCAAGGAAGATGTTTGGGTTGCACAATGTCAGGATGTCGGGGACTGGATCAGGGAGAACCCGAATAGCTTCAGCAATGATCCAGGTTGGGACAAGGCAGAGTGGAAGAAGAAGTAATGAATTCGAAACAATTGTACAACACGAGTTTACTAAACCGATGAACGTACAAGTGGAATTCGCGAAGGCGTAGCAAGAAGACGGCGACGTTCAGTTCTGAAGGCGATTATGAATATGGTGCTGGGCTGTGGAAAGAAGAATCTCACCGCCAGATCTATTTTTTTTTCCTGCCCGGTAACACGTCCACAATATTCTGTAGTAAGCTCTCCAGCTTCGCAAACTTTGAATCCACCTTGTCCTCCAATCCCTGGATTTTCGCCTCCAAACTCTCAAACCGCGTTTGCAGCACCTGAAGCCGATTATGCACCCCAGTATCCAGATCACCAATCTTCGTGTCAACCTCTCCCAGTGCCTTTTCAAGGCCTTCGATTCGGGTATCCGTATCGGGAGGCTCGACGTCTTCCTCGCTGTCTCGTATCAGAACCAAAGGATGTCGAAGGAGATGCCATGGAGTCGGTCCATTCTCAAGAGCCTTGACCTTGTTGGAATCACAATCGAGACATATGTACGTATCAGGGCCTGCAAAGAATCAGCAATTGGAATCAACGATAGAGAGAAAAGAGACGTACTGCAAGAGAGACAAGCCCAGCAAGGGAGTTCTATGCAGCTTCCACAACAACAGCAAGTCGGTTCGTCCACCTTCTCGCCCTTTGTTTTGTGTCCATCTTCAGCATTTACGTCTTCGGCCGACGGATCCGAAAGCCTGTTCAGCAGCGACCCCATTTCGCGGAATGTGGTCTTGACCCTCTCGACGACAACTAGAGCTTCGGGAAGAGCCCAGGCAAGGTCTCCATCATGTAAAAAGTGGTCGGCTTTGACGAGCGAATGCGATGCTTCGTGAGTAAAGTCCTCTGTCTCGGTCGAAATGTCTATGCAGTTGAGGCAAAGGTTGACCCCAGAGGCAAGAGTTTCGCTAATGCATGTGACACATATCAGTCGACTCTTGTAGATGACTCGTTCGCATCCCTTGCAAATGAAGGTCCTGGAATCTGGATTAGCGATAGAAAATAACAAGAAAAAGTCGGGCTTACGGGAAATTTGTCTGAACAAGAATTTCACATGGCGCCAGTGATGCGAAGAATCGCACATCGGTCGGACTGATTGTGCTTCTCAGACCGCGCAATTCGACTTTCTCTTCGTTGGTCAGTGGTCGGTGTGGTGAAAGGTTTCGCTTGGTTTCTTCTAAACGGGCAAGGAAACCGAACAGCCGTTTCCGCTCATTCAAGGTTGCCCGGAAGAAACTGTGCGACCAGAGAACTTTACGCACTTGGTGTAGAACAGCCTTGGATGCAAAAGACCAACGAGCCTGGGCTGGATTCGCCTCGAATTGTGAAGGGGTGTAGCGGAAACGGTTGAGCTCGACTGGAGTGCGGTGAAAGCTGAATGTACGAATGATTGTGGTGTCTTCTTCGTCTTCTGATTCTTCTTCTTCTTCGTGCTCTTGTAGGAGCTCCTCTTCGTCTTCTTCTTCTTCCAACTCTTCTTCTTCCTCCAACTCTTCTTCTTCCCCTTCTTCCTCGTCCCCTTCCTCAGCAATTTCTTCGTCGACTTCTTCGTCATCTCCTTCCGACTCGTCAGTCCAGTCCGGATCATCTTCCGCCTCGACCTCGTCCACAGCTTCTTCATCTTCTTCATCCTCAACATTCTCGTCTTTTCCGGCAGCACTGGCCGACGTATAGCTACCCGTCAACGACTGTGTATCGAGATCAAATATCCCGGTCACCACAGTCGTATATCCATCTTCATAGATCAATGTCAACTTGACTTCATTGTCGGCATTGATCGTCCCCGAGAGCACCATCTCTCCGGAATGCGTCTCAGCCTTTCCAGAAACCGTCCCATCTTCCAGAACATTCTCGATCCAAAGCTGGACCAATCCTTGCTTGCTCGTGAGAGTTTCCGACCGCTCGTCGGAAACATAAAAGTGTCCCGACCAGGCTCCACTAGCAGGGTGCGCCGGTACTTCGGGCATCCCCCATTTAATATCCTTGTCAAAGTCGTAAATGGTCGACTGGAAGGTGTCCTGAACAGGGAACTTGAGAATCTTGAGCTCAGCGGTCTTCTGAGCTTCAGCGACAGCGACTTCAACTTCCTCGCTCATTTGCCCATAATCGCAGGTCCAAAGTGAGATCATGTTCTCGGAAATCTCGAATTCTGGGTCTCCATAAGAGAGCTCCATCTGAAGGATTTCGTTAGTCCTTGGACGCGACTGCTGACGGAATCGTACCAGGCCAAATGCAAAGTTGCTTAGTCGCTCTTTGACGTCGATATTCGTTTGCTTGAAGATCGCTAGAATGCCTTTCAGCCCCAAAGTTACCGACAAGAAAACCGAAACATACATTCGAGGCTTTCGATACGTGTGCTAAAGGCATTGAACACCGCACTCAATGTCAAATTCAACGTAGAGAATTCGGCGGGATCGAGGACATGCTCGGAAGCGAGAATCACCACCGAAAGATGCCTCTTGAGGAGCAAATATAGGAGAGGATAGATATACTGAGATGCAACATCAGACACCGGCGCCAGACAAAGATTGAAATCTCACCCGCTCGACTCGTCCCGGACCAGTAATCAGCGCCACCGTACTCTCATCATCAATCTCAAATCCAACACCTTCCAAATTGCGTATCATCTTCTCTTCTTCGAGCGCCATGAAAGCCTCTGTAAGATTCTTGAGATCTCTGTCCTGCCACATGTCGACGAGAAGGGGTTGGGTTGAGCGCAACAAAAGGTCAATGTGGAAGTAGACGAAATGGTAAAAGTATTCGTCGGCGGCTTTACGGTTCATAGGAAGGACATCGTGAAGATGATCGAACATCCTTTGCAGGAGCATGTATATCTTGTTCTTGTACCAGTCGATGCTCCCATGCCAGCCTGTATCAAAAAAATAAGAGAAGAACATGAACGTTAGGGCTTCTCGCACCTTGACTCCAGTATGCGATCCAATTCAATAACCTGGGCAAGATTCGAATCAGTCTCGTCGTCAAGGTCTCGCAAAAGAGCACGTACGTCCAACCATGCGGTTTAGAAAGGACAAAATCGTTGACTTCTTTCACCGAGATGAACCCAGTCCCATCGTCGTCAAAGGCCTCAAGGATGGGCTGAACATGGCTGACGTTGATGTATGCCAGCGTCCAACGATCATCTTTCGGCTTCTTCGCCACCAGATTCCAGTTGCGTCCTTTCGAATCCACAGACGATTGTTGGATATTCGGCTGTTCAAACTTTTCTGTGAAATAGTCGTGTAGCGCTAGGACGAAGTGTCTCGCTTTCACGCTGCCTTTCCAGCCCTACAGCGCACTGAATGAGATTTGGAAGACTAGAATGTGACGATGGACTGACCATATCTTTCCAGATGGCGCGCAAATCCTAAAGTCGGGTCAGTAGATGAATGTACGTAAGAGAAACTGTCACAGACTTGGTCAATAATGCGATCATGCGCACCAGAGAAGATGGCAGAAATGATATGCTGTCCTTGCTCTTGGATTGAATCCTGCAATTTCTGCTGGAGCTGTCGGTTCTGCATCTCCAGCTTCTTCCCAAACAGATCCAGATTCTTTCTAAATGCCTCATCGACATTCTCCGTCATCTCCTTCGTCAAGGTTCGTCGTGCTGCCGCCAGTCCATTGACCCCCTTGGTATTCTCACTTCCCGTGACACCAGCTATCCCTTCCCCGCTGATCTCAATAAGCTCTTTCAACAGCTCATTATTATCGATGCAATTCTTGGCACCGCCCTTCTCCTCGATGAACTTGTAAACTTCACGTTCGCGGGGTGTATCGAGCTTGCGGAAGAGAAGCAGCATGTCGAGTTTTTCGTCGATAGTCTCGAGCTTGTTTCTTTGCGAATCTAGCTTGACATTCGCATTGTCGACGCCCAAAGCTATACGAGAATGAGACGTTGGATCGTTGGAGCGAAACGGAATAGCATACCGGTGTGAATGGAAAGAGCGAAATCGAGGTTTTCGCGAT